GTCCATTTATTTTGATAATTGTTACTATACCAATACAGCAATATAATAGACGTTTCTTATTTTAAGTTGGTTCAAGTCAATGAACTCACTTAATCATTTGAATGTGTTTATACATTATACTAATATGTTAGGTTCTAGTTAATTCTCATATACTGTATTGGATTCTAGTAAATCTGATATAAATGGAATTGTTCTTTTTCTTTTTGATTATGTCTGATGATGGCGTCTGAGAATAGATGCCGAAATATCACGTGGTGCATTGAATAACATTTAGCTGTTCTTATTATGTTTTTTATTTATTTCATTTCAATGGTTTTTAATGTTATATTTTATAAAAATCAATCAAATACAAGCAAAGTGTTGACCAAGTTGTTAAACCTAAATAAAATAAATTATCGAATAAAATATGTTACAGTTGAAGAATGATGTCGATCAACATTGATCTTAATATCCTCCAAAGATAACATTTAGAGAGAAAAGGAAAGTTCTTTTCATAAATTACCTAAATGATCAGTATCTTTATTATTCACTGAGTTAAAACGAAAGAAAAGACTTTATTATATACGTACATTATATACCTAGTTTTTTTTTAATATTGTAGAACTGAAATTAAGATCTTATTGTGAATATAGTAAATAACTATTAAAAACTAAAATCGATCAAAATAATATTCGTAATCTTCAATTGTAACCTTCAAAAAAAAATATGTTAATGTTAATCGAAATAAGATGTGAAAAAATGATTTCATAATCCTGAATAAAAGTAGCAATAACATGGAATTATTAATCATTTTGAATAAAAATATATTTTGATCATAAGTTTGTTGATGTTAAAGAGCAAATTTTTTTTTCAAATAGATATTCAATTATTCACATAAAATCTCTATGAAATTTGTTAATTAGATTTTCGTTGTCTCGTAAAAGTTTTTTTAAAGTTTAAATAATTTAAGAATTGTTTCATGAATATATAAAGAAAGATATTTATTCTTTTTATTTTCTTCCGAGGTATTAATATTAATGCACATTTAAAAAAACAGCAAGCCTGATAAGTATCTTCCGAAAGACTCAAGTTGTTTTTGACCATCAATGTTAACATAACCTTTCCTTTTTTTCTATTCTTTATCTCTATTTCAAGATATGCAATGCATGAGTTATTACTCAAATTGACGGCGAATGTATTGTTTTTATCCACCGTTTCATTCAATCATCGTTCGTTTTGCTACAATGGCGAGTGCACGACATGCAAGTTATCTTTACACATACGAGATGAAAACACAGCCGAATTGAACATGAAATGTTTAAAGACGACAAAGATATCGTGCACTTAATATTTCATTGCTTGACAAACACCGGTTGTTGTCATGCGCTGCGTATTATCATTCCGTTACGTCGACGTCGTCTTTCATCGCGTCTTTCCGTTTTCATACCTTTACTTTCTTCCGTTTCTACTTCTTCTCGTTCTTCATAACAGAAGAATAAAAATAATTTTCTAACTAATGGAGCTTTGCAGGGTGGCTCTAAAACAAATCAACCTTCCCAGGGATATCCGACGTTCTGTTGGTGACCCATGCAGGCGTGCAGATGGTAGGCCTTCACAACATACATCAATGTATGTATGAATAGAAGCGTCCATTTCGTCATCGTCTTTTCGAAGATGATGATCATGGTCGTACTAGTCATACATACATCGATGTGTGTTTGCCTAACCATTGCCGGCTTTGTCCACTGTACGAGCCAGCAGAATACGGAGGGTATCTCTGGTCGCGCATGCGCGAAATTTTGCAGCTGCTTGCTTTGGCCAGCTTTGGGTTCAAGAAGGGGAATTTATTTTCCATTTAAAAACAAAAAAAAAACAATTACATTTTGTTTTTTACTTTTTCAATGTTTCTTTTCACCAGAGCAATATGCGGATGTGTTGGAGGCAGTGATGTTCGGAAGATTTCTTGAGCTTTCTCGTAATGGGAAAGTGCTTTCGAGTACTCGCCCATGTTATCATACAAAGAGCCAATGTTGTTGTAGGAAGAAGCCAAGTCGGGATGATTCGGAGGCAGAGCTATTTTACGGATTTCAAGTGATCGTTCGTACGATGAAAGTGCTTTCGAGTACTCGCCCATTTTTCTATGGACGATACCGATGTTGTTGTAGGACGCAGCCAAGTCGGGATGATTCGGAGGGAGAGCTATTTTCTGGATTTCAAGTGATCGTTCATACGAGGAAAGTGCTTTCGAGTACTCGCCCATGTTATAATACACCAACCCGATGTTGTTGTAGGAAGTAGCCAAGTCGGGATGATTCGGAGGGAGAGCTTTTTTGGTAATCTCAAGATCCTTTTCATAATATGAAAGTGCTTTTGCGTACTCGCCCATGTTTTTATACGCTATACCGATGTTGTTGTAGGAAGCAGCCAAGTCGGGATGATTCGGAGGGAGAACTATTTTACCGATTTCAAGTGATCGTTGATACGATGAAAGTGCTTCTGAGTACTCGCCCATGTTATTATACACCAACCCGATGTTGTTGTAGGAAGCAGCCAAGTCGGGATGATTCGGAGGGAGAGCTATTTTACGGATTTCAAGTGATCGTTCATACGATGAAAGTGCTTTCGAGTACTCGCCCATGTTACCATACACCATACCGATGTTGTTGTAGGTGTTAGCCGAGTCGGGATGATTCGGAGGAAGAGCTATTTTCTTGATTGCAATTGCTTGTTCAAACGATGAAAGCGCTTTTGAGTACTCGCCCATGTTATTATACACCAACCCGATGTTGTTGTAGGAAGCAGCCAAGTCGGGATGATTCGGAGGGAGAGCTATTTTACGGATTTCAAGTGATCGTTCATACGATGAAAGTGCTTTCGAGTACTCGCCCATGCTATAATACACCAACCCGATGTTGTTGTAGGAAGTAGCCAAGTCGGGATGATTCGGAGGGAGAGCTATTTTACGGATTTCAAGTGATCGTTCATACGATGAAAGTGCTTTCGAGTACTCGCCCATTTTATGATACACCATGCCGATGTTGCTGTAGGAAGCAGCCAAGTCGGGATGATTCAGAGGGAGAGCTATTTTTTGGATTTCAAGTGATCGTTCATACGATGAAAGTGCTTGCGAGTACTCGCCCATGTTATTATACACGGTACCAAGCTGAAGATTATAATCTGATCGCTCTTTATCAGTAGATGCCTTTTCGAGAAGTATCTTACAGAGATGTTCTGCTTTTGCAGGCTCACCAAGTTTAATAAGTATGTGACCAAATCGAGCCCATCCTGTTGCCCAAGTGGACTCTTCTCGCAGATGTGCTGTAAGTGTGTTCAATTCATGATTGTCATTACCCACAATAGTGAGAGTGACTTCGTATAGCCGATCAGAGTGGTTATCGTGAATTCGTTCAATGCGATCGATACGAAAAATCGCATGTGTTGTAAAAAGTATTTCTTCTTCCTTGTCTTCAAAGAAGCCAATTTTGTTAGTTACTTCAGCAAATGGTGTTGAGGATTTCGAGCAAATAGCCGTATCAATGTTCATAACGAAGAGAATACCAACTGAATTTGGATTAAATGCTGCTGGTCGGGCAAAGTTGTTGAAAGATATCTCACGATTGCGACTTGTCGACAGAAAATTGTTGAAGGACATAAGTCCTCCTTTGGTTTTTTTCATTTTTTCAAAATCTTCCATGGACAAACCTTGTCCACGAAAGACTTGAAATTTTGCTGGCATGCTGGCTTTTTGTTCGCGATGTAGTTCGGTAATATGCTGATGTAGATGTCGGATGAAGAAGCCCATCTTCAGAATAATATCGACATCCATTTGTCGAAGACCACAATTGAGCATTGAGTAGATAAAATATGGACCTGTGTACCACCAAATGGGTGAATGATTACGATATTCTTCTTCAATCTTTTCAAGTGTTTTTTCGGAAGCATCGCTTTGAAGACGACAGTATTCAAGAAGTTCCTTAATCGATTTTGCATCATCATCTTCAATTTGCAAAAGTGCTTCTTTTAACAATTGTGTATACATAAATAATGGATCAATTCTATTAAAACTTATCGAGATCATAGCTCGATCACAATTTTCTTGATCGATTTGTAATGCTTTACAAATCGGTTCGATTTGTGTGTATATACCTTTTACCTTAGGTATTGTTTTGGCCCATTCCTCATGAATTGATTGATTGCCACATAAAATATAAATTGAGACTAACTGTGGGCATTGTTGAATTATCGGTATTGTATGTTGTGCCAGGGCACCTGATACGATCATAAATACTTTTTCGTTCTCAATGTCAGTGAGAAAATCAATGGAATCATCAACGTCTGTAAACACTGCGACCGTTGCCACTATATGTTGCAAATGTTTCATTGGTTTTTCATAATCGTCTTTGGACTCATCAAAATCGACATCAAGCCAGACCAAAAGAAAATTTTGAAGCATCCGCCGAACGGGGCGTGGCTGTGTGACATTTCTACTCACCACTGTCGTTGTTGCTGTGGATGACTTATTTGGTTTATTTGTGGTAGACGACGATGAGTCACTAGCATTTGGTTTCAAATTTTTCTTGTCCATTTCGCTGATAATAACGATGATGGTGATGATCTTTTGATTTTCTTGTTCAATTTACGTAAATGAATGGAAACGTGGATACTTATTGCACACTGTAAAATATCAAAAAAACAAAAATATTTTGTCTCTCTCTAAATATATTTCGGTTTTTTCTTCCTTGGTATGTTGACACTTTCGGTTTTGTTTGTTTGGTTGTTATCAACTTCAAGAACTTCTTATCTCGATTATTCTCTCTTTTATTTCAAAAGTGTTACTGGCTAAATGTAATAGGCAAAATCTATGTACATACTTCAGATATGCGATAAGGAAGAATAAGAACGACACATGCAAAAAAGAATTGCATTATAGTCATAGATAATAGAAAAGAAAAAAAGAACTTCTAAATAGGATTTAAACATATTTTTGTTCTTTCCTACTGTTGTTCCTTTCGGTTGCCTTGGACTTCAATACGAAAGGGCGATGGATGGCAGTGCCTTATTAGTCGATGATGGCTTCTACTGTTGCCAACAAGGCATGGGTGTTGGCGAGTGTACGGTGTGGGTGGGTATTTGTGTATAGAAGTAACCTTTGCTTACAATCCCAGCCACAGCCACAGTCACACCCTCGTAACCAACGCTTTTCTTCCTGATTTTGAAAACTATCTGTGTAGTCCTCTCTTTTCCTCAGACTCAACTATTCTGTACGCCATCTGCCTGCTTCCAGCGCAAAATAACGTCTTTAGACATACTTCTAGTATTTACAAGATCGAAACATATCCCTATGGAACGTGTAGCAAAGACTATATTTTAAAATTATGTGAAACTTTAACAACTTCATCATAATGAATGTGAAAGAAGTTTTGGTGCACTATAATGAGTTAAAATAAAACCACACGAATAGTCTCTCATCAAGAATCAGATGTTACAGAAACCGATGTGAATAGTATTGTAAAACATTTTTGTATATATTCAAGACAAACAAAAGCTTCCAATATTAAAATATATGTCAACAAAATTGATGATGAACAGTGGATGAAGTTTCATACAACCATTATAAAGAACATTACATAAAAAATATGAATGTAAACAGTTTAAATATCTGTCAAAAATATATTCGAAATAATAAATAATTTTCTAATTAAAACCTTAAAACGATTTAGATTTCTATGAAATTTTGACTAGAGTATTAAATTTTTTATATCTATTTTTAGAGACTTCAGATTTATAAGAATTTCGGTTGATGAGAAAGGTTTTTAGGCTTTTTTTTCAGTCGACTATTCATTCATTTGTTATGATTATCAAATAATGTTTAAACTTAGTCATTTATTTCTTTGACTTTAAAATAAATGAATTGAATGTAAATTAAACAACATGAATAAACGAAGTAAATCACTTGACGTTTTAAAATTACTTTCAACAACAACATCACGAACATTAATAATCAAGTAAATAATTTGATTTTTTTCTGTTTTTCATTTTGTTTTAATCTCCCATCAAATGTTTTTCTTGTCTCCACGTAACAATGAAAATTATTTTAAATTAATTACAGCCAGTGTGGAAAAATTATTTACAAAATGTGATGAAAATGATTATGGTGTACGATTGACTGCCGAAGAAAATCTTATTAAATTTGTTAAAGTATTATAAAAGAAATTCTTTTTTTTGTATAATTTTGTATGAATTATAAAATAGAATTTAAAAGAAGCAGTTTTAACAAGAATTCAAGTTAAATTACATCGAATTATAAATCATAATCCTAATGTTGAACCGAAAGCTTTAAAAGGTTATTTTTATTATTTGGCTTAAATTTCTAATAATGATTTTTTCAAAAATTTCGATTAGATGTTCTATGCCGGTTTGCCAAATTAGCAAATGTAATACATCCGAAAACGATTCAATCATTTTATCAGAATATTATGAACTTATTTTTCGTAGTCTTGGTCGACCGATTAATAATAAAGAAATTAAAGTAAGTAAAACAAAAATCTTTGTCATCTAAGACAAGTTTTTTAAAGAAGTAATCAGAAAAATGTCATACGGTTGAATAGAAACATAGAAAAGAATTGCTCTGCCATGTTTCGGTTAAAAATTCTAGCAGGAGAGGATGTTTTTCAGAAAATGTAGAATAGGCAGTCTGATACTATTTAACGAAATACGAACTGAGAAACTGTCTATCATTTGAAGCGATCTGCTCTCGAAAGTAATCGAGCGTAGTTTCATGCAACTTAAGAATGGTTTAGTCATAGGAGTTCACTGGCTATAGTGATAGTTAAAGTATGAAGTCGGGTGAGAAAGAATTATTCTTTTCCTAATATTAACAATAAATAATTTTCTTTTGAAATATATAATCAATGACTAAATTATTCTTAGGAACTTCTCATGCCCTATTCAGCAAATATGTTATCCCATGATTATAGCACGTTTTCTAATGGTAAATGTAATTGGTAAGTTTTCTTTCAAATAATAATTTCAATTCATTATAATTGTCTTTTATTTTAATAGATCAATTATTTGAACATCAAAATCAAAATGCTAGTACACGTTTAATAATTGATTATCTTGATTTAATAAAAAAAATTATTCAATTACTTCGTTATTCAAATTTATTTGATTTTGATCAATTATTAATTTCAACCCAAATTGGATCTATAGAAGAAATTCGTGTTAGTGAAGCCTGAAAAACAGGTAAATATTGAGAAGAAAAACAAGAATTTTTCTTTCATTTGTTTTTTTTTTTTCTAAAACAATAGCCTATTCAACATGTCAACGTTGATTTATTGAAATGAATGATGAATTCGATTCAACATCAATGATTAATAATGAAAAATGAATATCAGCTGCTGAACTTGTTAATCAATTATATTTTTTTTCCGATTAGATATATACTTAATATGGATGGTACGATAAAAAGTGATGATGAATTATGCATTAGTGTTAAATGTGCTATACCAATATGTCTCGTATTGATAAACAATTTGATCCATTTGTTTATCTTACTGAAAGTATGTTTAATTCTTGTTTGACTTTTTTTTATAATCCAAAATTATTTCTAATGTCGTAACAGTAGGAGGGCCTAGGTGAAGGGGATTATGACAGAGTTTAGTTGACGTGGCTTCAATTGGTTAAGGTCTCAAAGTTTTAGTGAAAGTTATCTGATAGATATGACAATTTCACTATTAAATTGTTGAAACATATATATATATATTGGAATCTGAAAATTCAAGAAAGGAGATTTCTCAATATTGATTCAGCAGCTCTAGACGTATTCCTACTTTTAATTTTTTTGGAATCAACAAAAGACTAGAACATTATCAGACTCGAAAAGATATCAAGTAGAACACTTTATTGAAGCTCAAAGCCTGCATTTATACATCAGAGATTGAAATTATACAATCACACAACTACCTCAAAAACGTTTTAAGCCGAAGTTCGAGATATGAAATCAATTGTATCCTCTAAGGAGTTTTTCTTTAGTCTTTGAAGATTTCTGATTAAATATAATTTTGTAATTAAAATTGAATTCTCTAAACGAAAAAATGAAATTCACATCTCTATATGACTTGTAATACATTAAAATTTATCGAACATCAAAGTATCTTTTTTTTCTTTTCTTTAAGATATTACATATCTTTTATCTTTATGTGAATACGGTGATCTACATTTACGTGGTGCATGTGCAAATTTACTTGTTATATTAATTCAAACAACAAATCATCTTTTAACACTATCATCATTATCAAATTCATTTAATAATTCTTTTATTAATTAATGTTCACTTGCATCAACTGATTCACAAGATAGTTCAAGGTTATATGTCTTAATGATAATAATGCACGTGTTATACATGTTTCACTAAATGCTTTACGAACCAGAGAACGTCACAGGACCTGCGTCCTGCAGGTCCTGCATCGCCCTGCCTGCAGGACGCAGGTCCTGCCCTGCATTTTTGGAATTTAGTCCTGCAATTCGCAGGGCAGTGCAGGAGCAGGACAACCTTTTTTATATGAAGGACCTGCAGGATGATTTATTAGTCCTGCAGGATAGCATTGAAAGCAAAGAACAGAAATAAATCAGTTGTACAAAGATTTTGAGATTCATAGCGATTTCTATAAAGTGATTAGTTATTAATTGTAGAGCGATGAACAGTTATAACATGAAAAATGTAATATAATCAACACTTCTTAGAGGTAATTCCTGCTTTTGTTAATAGCAGCAAGAAAAATACATACTATACCAGCAATTAGTGCATCAGTGGAAAAGTTATTTAGTTCCGCTGGATTAAGAGTTACTCAAAGACGAACACGTTTATCACCAAGTCAAATTGATAATATATTATTTATTCGTTCGTACGAGAAATTCAAAAACAAGAAGTAAAAAAGAAGCTTATATTTATCTGTGAATTTTCATTGCAGTGCGAACTTTGTATCTTAGTGTTTCTTCTGCTATTGATTTGTTGATCTTATGGATCTCAGTATTATTCTCTGTTCATTTCATTTCTGTTGAAAAACTTGTCTTGAGATTTTCTAATAAAATTATATTATGTTTCTTCATGTAAACAATACTTTCATCTTTGATGTTGTATCTCATCTTCAGTATCAATAAGATTATAAATCCTTTGCCATCGTGATTATCTTCTGATTCCTTTTATTCTTACGAATATCTAGTACTTTTTGTTCATTTCATTTCATGTCTACCAGAAAGCGTGTGATTAGATTAATTAACAGGATCATTATAAATGACTTCTATAAAGAGTACTTGTAGGATGCTTGACATCATATCTCATATTTAGATAATATTTTACCTTTTTGAAGCTTGCAGGACAAAAATTCGTCCTGCAGGCAGGACGCAGGACGACTTTTTGTCCTGCAAGTGTGTCCTGCCAGGACGAAGGTTTTTATGTCCTGCAATCCGTCCTGAAAAGCAGGACATGGTTTGATAATGTCCTGCAAAAATGCAGGGCAGGACGAAAAAAACCGTCCTGTGACGTTCTCTGTTACGAACATGATTACCTTTTTTTATTAATTAATAGTCATGCATTTACAATCATAGGAATTAAATTATTAGAAGATTCTATTCAACATACTACAAGTTCCTGTACTCTTGCTCAAGTAGATAAAAGAAATTTGTGATTATAATAATTTTTTTTCGTATGTATATAAAATAGGTTAGTCTAGCTCAATTTATAGATGATATTGATTTTCGAAGATTAACTTATCTTGAACAACAATTAAAACAACAGTACCCTGATATACGTGTTCGTCAAGCAACTGCTTCGACTGTTGCTAAGTATGTATTTTGTAGAGATAATAACTGCGTAGCTTTTTTCGAATTTGGATGAATAAGTCGATTTTATTACATTAAGCTAGTTATTAGCTACTTTTTGATTTTAAGGTTTTGTTGATCACAATTCATTTTTACCATGTCAATGGATATATAAAATTCATCATTCATTACAAGCTCAAGCATCAACTCGAATACAAATTGTTTGTTATTTTTGTCTTTTATATAGGTTGAATGTTTGGAAGACATTTATGTTCTTTCAAATGTTTTAAGACCAACAACAATTCGACCAATTTTTTCATAATCAATATGATGAACTTCGTTTATTTATAATTTTTTTTAAACATCCCTTTATATTCCATGATCTTAATAATTTAATCTTTTCAAGTAAAGAGAAAAAAAAGATATTTATTATGTTTTTTTTTGAATTCTTTCTTTTTATTTGAAGATTTATCAAATCTCAACAAATGAAAAAATGTTTTGAAAGTAGCACAAATGATTCAAGTAATTCGAAAA